TTAAAGCATAATAAATGAAGCTTGAAAATGTCAAAAGTTGTAGTAAGATGCCCATGTTGCCTCTCTAGTTTCTACCATGCACTGTTATGGAGTCTTCTCCCCTTCCCATCCTTCAGCTAATGTGGCATCTAAATATGTCCTATTGGTACGTTGAACAACTTTGGTCTATTCTTAAATGCTTCACGTTTCTTCCATCCATGTGCTTGTAACACTCATGTTCATCAACTCGTATGTAGTTCATCACAAGAAGAGTTGGTTTCTATAATATACACATATTGATAATGTTGGTGTACATTAACTTGCTCGCACCTAATTACTTGCTGCCTTTTACCAGCACAAGTACCATATGTAATTATGCCCATTAATACTTAGACAGATAGTAAAAAATCATCTACTGTTGTCTCTGTTATAGGATGTAATTGAACCTTAGTCTTCAGAATTTGCATTCAATTTATTGACCATTTGATCACATCCTTGGGATGCTTACATTGAAATCTATTACGTGTTCAATGGGGATCTTGTTCTAAGTATAACTTAGTTTTGACTTTAGACACCATCATAATGGAAGATGGGAGGCTCGCATTGGAAGGGTGTTTGGCAACAAATATCTCTACCTTGGAACATATGGTACGTCGGAGATTCTTATTAGTATGTATTTCCTATTAATTGAAGTTGTATTCTCTATATTTACTATGTTGTCTCTTAAAACTTTAACCCAACCCCCTCATCATTTTGGTAGAAAACCCAAAAAGCAAAAAATAAAAATAAAAATTTAGTCCTTCCTCCTAAATTGATGTTTCCGGCTTAAATGTAAAGTGTCGGATAAGAAAGACAGAAACTTTAAATAAGTTTGGCAAATAGAGGGTAGTGCTCCAAAATTAATATATTTTGGTTGCTTACCTAAACAACCTTACAAAGACATCATTTTCAAAAGCATTTGTCCCTAAATCAATCCAAGTGTTGTGATATTATTGTTAATTGCACTTAAGAAATAAGCATGATGATTGCCACATGTCTACTTCTTTGTCAGTATTAGTATTGCCAAATGAATACAGTTATGTTTAGTTACAAATTGAGGGCCTCTTTTAGTGTTACTGTAGCCGTAAAAATCATGGGGTCGTAGAAGCAAAAAATAAGTCAAATAAGTGAGGCAAAACGGCTAAGAAGTTAGATTAGGGAAGGAAAAGAATTGAATATAGTTGGTGGTTGGGTATATAGATCACCAACTTTCAACTGCTAGGTCTGCGACTATTTAAGATTTCATAACACATGCCCCATGTCTTCATTTTTCAACATCTCACCCAATTTCTCATGCAAATAAGTTTCTAGAATTAAATACGTATATTATAACCGCATCATTCCCAAAATACCCATCAACATCAATTCTTTCTTTTTGTCCTCCCTCGCGCTTTTTTTATTTTTTTAAAAATTATTGGGAAGGTAAAATCACATGCAAGCCCAGAGTGTGTTATATATATATAAATTGTTGAATCTCCTAAACATAAAAGCTTCTACTTTAGGATATAGGTTCGAATATCAAGTATGATATTTTTGTATATTTTTTTGAATTTCCTTATTAAAATTTCTGATTCGGCATTGATCACATGCAGCTACTCAAGAAGAAGCCGCAACAGCTTATGATATGGCGGCTATAGAATATCGTGGGTTAAACGCAGTTACAAACTTTGACCTTAGCCGTTATATCAAGTGGCTGCGTCCCTCCAACCAAACTAATAATATTACTACCATTAACAACCCTAGTAACAGTATTGAACCAAACCCTAGCCCTAACGCTGATGACATTCATACTATGCCTAACACCAAAGAGGAGATGGAATGTAGTTTCCTCCGACAGCAACAACAACAAAGCTCGAACTCTGATGCAACAACCGTGGCGCTGCCACATCCAGCTGCCGGCGCCACGGCTTCATCTGCATTAGGGCTTTTGTTGCAGTCTTCCAAGTTCAAGGAAATGCTTGAAAGAACATCGGCAGCTGACTGTCCGGAGACGCCACCGGAGCCGGATAGGCCGCGGCGGAGCTTCCCCGATGATATTCAGACGTACTTTGATTGCCAAGAGTCGAGTAGCTTTATTGAGGAGCATGACATTATTTTTGGTGACTTGGATTCTTTTGCATCGCCCAATATGTTTCAGTGTGAGCTTGATAGCTAGCGATCGAGCTTACCCTAAGGAACTTAGAAGTATTAATTAATAACTGTGGACGTGAGATATACAGATTATTTGTGAATACTGTTTTAAGTTAAGGAGAGTTTGGATAGGCAACATAAACAAAACAAAACAAAACAAAACAAAAAGGAGAAAAAGGAAAATCAAACCAAATAATTTCCTTTAAAATGATTTTTTTCTTTCAAGAGGAGAGGAGAGAATGAGGATAATTTTTTTCCAGTATTTTTATTTATGGACTGTAATTTTTTTTATTTTTTTTTTGCAATATTGTATTTGGTTCATTAGTATGTGGATAGAGAAAGCGATAGACATTCTTTTATCAGGTATGAGTTTTAAATAATAATAAGACTGTTGCCACTTGAAGTCCGACACACCGTTAGAATTATGTATTTGATTTGTAGTTGAACTCTTGTCTCGTCGGCATACAACTTTTTGAATCATAATATAGCTTTGAGATTATTAATTGTTTTATTGGAAATATGGGTTTGATCTAAGATTCATTCAGTAACAGTAAGATAGTATCTGCATAAGTATGCGCCTGTTCGGAATTTGAGTGTTTTAATTTCTGCCTTTTTATGTTTTTCTATATTACACATCCAGGCTTTAACTCATTTAAGTCTCATCACAAATTAAGTGCCTAAATATAGTACCCCATTTGGCCATATTGTTGCAACTAATAGTATTGAAGTTGGTCACGCCAATTAGCTTGGTGTACGTTGGAAATTGGATTCATACTCAGAGGCGGAGTCAGGATTTAAAGTTTATGGGTTCGAGAATCTAATATGTTTAATTATTGGGTTCTAAATAAATAAATTATATAAAATCGATAAATTTCTTAAAACAAATATATGGTTTAGATAAAAGCTACTGGGTTCGGCCAAACCCGTAGTTCGTACTCTAGCTCCGCCCCTGTTCGTACTTACCACATTGTAATCTCATAATAGACTGACCAGGCATAATTCCGGTCTTGTTGAAACTTGAAAGTGCCATTATAGGCAGTACACAGAGGACCCCTTCCTAATACAAGAGTTGCATAAGTCAAGAAAGTATTGCATTATTGACTTATTGTCATGCAATGTTATAGTAGTGGGAGTACCCAATGCTGTACGACTTGTCAAATGTCAGAAAATGGAGCATGTAAGTTGATGAAGTTAGATGCTTAAACAGGCATATTAATGTAAAAAAAATTCCATCATATGCATTAAGGAAACTTAACAAGCAGGGTAAATGAATAATGATACTTATATCTCGTTCAGAAAAAATTGCAGAACACACTTAAGTCAAATCAATGACTTGCTGTTCAGAGGTTGAACAACAAAAGGCTCCAGAAATTCCATTTACAGTGTGCAGCACAGCTTTGAATCAATAGAAGCCAAACATATGCAAAATGCTTGATAACCTGTCAATGGATACCTGTATACCAGCATAAAATCTCAAGTTGTTAGTATTACTCGATTGCTCGTTGAGATAATTTTCCAGCTGTTGAATTGAACTAGAGTATACCATACCTGTAGTCCATCACATACTTAGCTTTCCCCACTCTACCAAGTTGTAGAATTGTCTGCCTTCCGTTCTTCTAATAACAATCATAAAACAAACAGTTAAAGGCATAAATAAACAACTATCAAATATTATTTTTTGCTGGAAGTTCAAAATCTCTGTATATTTTTCTGTCGTTAAGGTTCTCTAATGATCTCAGTACCTCCATTGTCAGCTGGAAGTTCTTAACTGAGCTCTGGATTCTGAGTCCTGCTCTTCCTCTATCTCTAAAATCTAACTCATACTGTCTTGACACCTACATGTACCAAATAATTGCATATGAGATGCTTAAATGAGGAGTGAACTCGTAAATTTCTAACGGATATTGCCAACTAATGTACCTTATTGTAATGTGGAATCTTTGAAAACAGCTGATTTACTTTGTCCATGTGCTCCTCCCAATCCGCGGGTAGTCCGTTGATGTGCTGTATATAGAGCAGCAAATTAGCTTACTTTGTACTAATAATTTTTTTAAAGTGTCCTGTTTATATTTTTTGGCAACAATTCTCACCTGAGTTGTACTCTTCAACTGCATTGACTGGTGTTTTGGTATGCATGCTTTCATCCTTCGGTAGCTCCCAGTCCAGGTTGCGATGGTAGGCATGAATCTGTGGACAACAAGGGAGAAAACCTTAAGATACTTTTATCGCTATGGTCTGAGTACTGCCACTTTCTGGAATATTGTGGTAGTTTTGTGTACTACGATACAAAACTTACGTTACAACACCAAGCAATTTTGACTGTTTGATTGCAGAATTGGGACGGCCCTGAAATAAATTGGTTAAGCAGCAGCAGCAAGAGTTAGATAGCATGCGCTTGTCCATGGAATGATTCCATTAAACCCCAGGTTTCTTATCTCATAATCTCATGATAGTGCTGAAAGAAAATTTACCTGATCCCATATGTGGTATTTTGAACCCAGTAGATTAGCAGTTACACATCCAATCAAACTGTCTGATTTTCCCCATAACCCCTTTGTATTTTGAGCAACTACAAACTCAGATTTTCCACCACGCCTTCTGTAATGCGCAATGGCGAGTTTCCGATTCTGACGTCCATGGCCCTCCTTCAGTTATTAAATAAGTCACACGAAATAGATATCAGTACACATGTCAAAGTTCTGAAAATACACTTCGGTTCAAAAACCAGTTTCCCAAGCGGGTCCTGTAATAGCATAACTCTCAACTATGCACAGAACCCTGCTGCTCCGTTCCTTAAGCAAATAAAATCTTTTGTAGACATGAAAAGATGAAGTCATAAACCATAAGCTGAAAGTAGACAAGCATGTTAACTAATTAAAGCTCTGAAATTTACTGGTGCAAATGCTTCTGAGGAGAATTTGGCGACAACAAATTAGTTTGGAATAGAAGCTTTTCAAGTGACAAGAGAAAAAACAAGCAAAAGAAAAAATTCATCTTGAAATTTGGACCAGCTTTCAGGAGTGGAAGAAAGAAGCTATCGAACAAAACTACTAGCATTGGGTGATCTAAACACATTTGCACTTGCCTTTGATAAAGAGAAAGGGTAAGACATGAACTGATGGTGTCAATTCCTTAGTCAGGTTGATTCATAGCAGTTGCCAACAATTGTATGATGACTCCGTTAGAAAGCATTAAATATCACAAATGTTGAATGGATGTCAACCAGCTTAGAGAGGATGGCAGTAACAAAATTTTCAAGGATATGGAAAAGAAAAATCACCGTCGAAATAAGTCCATCAAAAAGCGTAACTTCACAAATAAGAATTTTCAGGTCAAGCACAAGAGTACATATGTGATCAAGATTTTCATGCTTGCAATGACTTGTAGAAATTCAAATCTGCCTGATGCTCACGGATACAAAGAGAAGAGAAAGCAGTAACCATTTGTACATAGGGAAATCTCTGTTATGTAATAGCGACAACCATTTTCCAAAGAATCCACCTTAGTGGAGAACCTTTGACTATACAATAACCCTAGCAACCTCTTAGTTAACATTATCCAATCTGTGGCAGATGGCTAGATACCTTAATGGAATCTGAAATCTATATTTGAATCCACATGTCTGTTGCCATTGATAGAGACATAATTGGACGTTGATCTATACTATCTTATAAGTAAATCTTTCATAAAAATTATCTAGCATGATGATATAAACATCTGTCTTGTTTCTTAATATTCATATTTTTCTGATAATAGCTATGTAAAATGTTATCAAGCTACCTAAACTCCCTGCCCCAAGATATTACCCTTTTCCTATAGAAGCAAAAGATATGAATCGTAGAAACCACATTCAAGATTCAAAAACACAGGTGAGCTTCGCACAAACTCAATCAGGGTCTCTAAAAAATAAGAATTTGAGCAACATCAGAAGTACTGCCAATATATGCATATAAAAACAGCAGTTCAAGATAATTGACATCAAAGTCAATTGTACCAACTATAATCTGGTCAATAACACGGATATGATACTAATGGAAGGATACAGGGTGAACTCTTTGATTAGGCCAACTACAATCTGGTCTGAGACAATTCTTTTTTGAATGTTGTCTTTTTTTAAGGTTAAATTGGTGCAAAACTGTCTCATTTATTCTCTTTCTACTATTGAGTTGTCTACTTGAGAAATATTGTGGGGTCTATTGTCTCCATTCCATATGGAAAATTCATCCAATTTCCTCTATATATTTGAAATTTGGAGTTAACTGGAACATGCAACTTAATCACAAGATAAAGCATATCTTAACATCAACTCAACAAAGAACTAAAATCAAGCACTGAATAGCAGATAATGCTAATTACTACAGCTTTATATAAACTTAATAAAAGTGTAAAGAAGAGCCTTACATTAGTATAAAGTGAGTAAAAAGTCCCTCCATCCCGGCTTTCTGAAGATGTTTCCTTTACTATGACACATGTACATCTTCCAATGTCTATAGGCAAAGGCCTGTACAACAATGACCTGCAAAATGCACAAAAGGAAAAAAAAAATGTTAATTTCGTCTACAAAAAATGTTAATATTTTTTTTTGAGCCGAGGGTCTATTGGAAACAGCCTCTCTATCTCCACAAGCTAGGGGTAAGGTGTGCGTACACATTACCATTCCCAGACGTTACACTGGGTATGTTGTTGTAGTTGTCGTCTACAAATCAATCATAAGCCTAACTGCATAAATTTAAGCAACAAGAGAGGTAAAATTGAACCTATTTGGAAGTGTAGACCAAGAAGAAGCTGGAGCAGCCTCAGAATCAGAATAATCCCAAATGTTAGCAGAATTCGGCGTCTCTGTATCCGCATGTTCCCAGATTTTCAACCCAATCTTGGACTCTGGTTCATTTTGTTGTATACATAACTGAAGTGAAGATGGCTTCAAAACCGAGTCTTTCAAAGCAGACTCTTTATTCACAACCTTATCAGTCCAATTAAACGGTAAAGCATTTTCTTTATCAAAAAGATTGGATTTTTCAGGTTTATTTGGTGTCTCGTTCTCTTTGTTATCAGAGATAATGAGTTGGTTCTGGAGCAAATGAACACCCAATGTTTCTCCTATAGTGCTGCCACTGCCACTGCTGCTGCTTCTGTTTTGTCTTAGCTCAGTCAAGGGATTATCATAAAGGGAATTATATGAATTTGAAGAACGAAGAGGGGTTGGGAGTTTCTTGAAGCCAGACATTTTGGTCTTTGTGTGAGATATGAAGGAACCGAATTTGGAAAGAGCAGAACAGCAAGTGTCAATAAGGCAAATTGGAAAGAGCTATATAAGGAGATTGTTGCTCTGTTGTGAACCACTTTAGAGAAGGGGTTTAACTTGACAGTGTAAGTAATAAAATAACTTTACATTGTCCGTTGCGCATTCATAATTTGGATTTTATGGGTTCAAGTTTAAATTTATTTGGCGAAATATATAAACGGCCCCTTTAAGTTATTCTCAACGACCAGACAAACACCTCAACTGAGCCATTTACCATTTAGACACTTCAAATAACTATTAAGTGTATCAAGTAAACACCTTAGTGCATCAGACCACATGCGTGACTTACACTTGCTAATGAGTGTCAAATGAACCAATTAAAAAGTGGCACGTGTAATTTGAATTAACAAAAAAAAAAATACATTTAAAGAAAAAAAATTCTTTTTCCTTACTTTTAACCAAACCAGCCCGCTCCCCCCCCCCTCCCCCCATATCATCTTCTTGCTTTCGCCCATCCCTCGTCCTCTTATCCCAAATCCACCCTTATCCCAAGTCCAACAAATTAAACATAGTTACTGTAATTGGCTAGGCATTGGGAATAGGGGCGATGCTTTAAGCCCAATTTCAAAAATTGAAGAACAAAGGAGTTGAACAATATAGCAGCTTTCTTGGTGTTCTTTAGATTTGTTCAAATTTTTCAATCCAATCTCAGTCTTTACTTCACCAAATGAGTCCAAACTTGAAATGAGAACTCTAATTAACCCAGATATCAAACCCCAATGTTCAATTTTTACAAGCAACAGCAAATTCAGAAGACCCAGTCGTAGTCTTCTTGGAATAGCCTTCAAAAATTTTGAACCAAAGCCAATCGAATCAACTCCAATCAACCTAAATTCGTAGATTCCGTTTGACAAAGAAAGTTTCAACAAAGGTTTCAAACACCCAATCAATTTCGGCTGTCAATTTTCAGATCGAAACAACCCATCTTCTTCCACAATATTGGACAATGAAGAAGGATGAAATACGGACTCGGATTTCAAGAGTTGTGTTGGGTTCGAAGACTTCTTTCCAAATTTGAAGTCTAGAGTAGTGGCAAGGATTAAATTCAGAATTTTAGCACCAGATAATGAAGAACAAAGATGCATAAACAAAGCACTCAAGCAAAATTTTCTAATTTTTTTTTGTAATGAAGTAATTTTTTTCTAATTTTCTGATTTGACTAAAGAAGAAATGACTTCACACCCCCAAGACTTTGTTAGCAAACACGCATATGTCACATCAGCGATAAGTGTTTACTTGATACACTTAATAGTTATTTGAAGTGTCTAAATGGTAAATGGTTTAGTTAAATTCCTATTATCCCATAACGTTTGCACTATATCCGCTCCAGACTATCAAAATATTATAACATGTTATAGGAGACAAACTGCCTTATTTTTCATATTTCTTATCTCATTTTTGCTAATGATTGTTTTTAGTTGTCTTTTAAACTATTTAAATGTGTAAAAGAATTTTTATGTTATTGGTATATATAAGTTAAATTTGTGAAGAAAAGGCTACACTTTATTGGTGTTCTTTAAGGCTTTAAAAGAGGTGTAGTGGTTAGATATGCTTTATCTTGTGTTTGCAGCCAATGTTATTGATGGTATCAACAGAAATTTGAATTTGAAAATTTTGGGCATTGGCAACTGTGTTGGGCAATTCAAACGTTGGAATTGGTTCATAATTAGATTAAAATCTCCAACGGTAAAATAAGGAACTTGATTGCGTCTTGTCTTGTCTTAGGATGCCATGCGTTTCCCCAATAGGCGGCGTAGTTATGGGCCCATCGCCGGACTTTTGTCGGTTGCTGAAAATAGCGCGAAGCAATTTGAATACTCCGCCCGTACGTGTGTCTGAAATAGATTAGATACATATGAAGCATTAGAATAAGTTCAGCTGCACACTAAAGTGATCTTTTATTTATTTATTCGGTGGATATCCTGTAATTTTGCAAATTTAGCAATTATTCCCTTTCTGCCATTTTTTTGGAACTTTTGGTGATCAAGAAAATGACGGCTCATTTCCATTAAGTGACAGTCATCATTACCCTTTTTGCTAGGGACATCTTTCTGAAGTGGTGATAGAATTGAAGGCAGTTTATATTTCATATTCAGTTATTGATCACGTATCTAATATTGGCCAAGTTTCTTTCTTTGTCAAAAGTATTTTTTTCAAAAATTAAGGTGTTTGGCCAAATTTTTAAAGAGAGAAAAGTATTTTTAAGAAGCAAAAAAAGTTCTTGTGAAGTGGAGAAAAAAATAACTTCTTCTCAAAAATAACTTTTTCCAAAGTACTTTTGAAAAACATACATTTAGAAACTCTTTTTAAAAGCTTAATCAAATATTAATTGCTTAGTTCTTTTCAAATTAATTAGACATAAAGTTGGGCTGAAATCTGAAGAGGTGCAACTCTTCAGAATGGCTGTTTATGCAAAACGGCCACAGCATAAATACCATTACATAAATGGCTATTTACTCAACAATAAAGAGGGAAAATAAATAGAGAACATTAGAGAGGGTAGCTAATTTTCTGTTACCAAAACAGAAAAAACGGATTGGAGGATTTAATATTAATATTTATTTTAATATTAATATTCTGTTATTAAAACAAATATTTAATAACATTTCTGTTAATATTTCACTATTAACAAATAAATTTGGTCCAAAAAGTTAATCAATCAATCATTTGACCAAATCCGAATCCGAAGCCGAAGCCGAAGCCGAAGCCGAGCCGAGCGAGCGACGACGACGACGGCGTGAGGCTTGCCTTCTTCTCAACTCTTTAAGAGCTAGAAGAAGAGCAATTGCTTATATATCCATAAAAAACCTCTTCCTCTTCCAATATGGGACAATGTCCATTTGCCAAGGGGAAAACTTAAATTTTCACTCAAATATTTCATTTCCCTTCATTTCCCATTCACCCTCTTTTATGTTTTTAATATATTAAATACAAAAAACCCAACAATTCCCCACATGAATGGGGAATGGCTATATCACGGAAGTATGCATGAAAAACTGTGTGATTCGCAAGCAAGGATTAATTGCATCTAGATAAGTAGGTTTCTGTCACGACCCAATTTCCAAACCCGGTCGTGATGGCGCCTCTCGTGAAGACAAGGCCAGCCAACTAACCCAAATCGTCTCTTTAACATTTATTAAACATAAACGAATAGGTGAATATAGCTTAACGACAATAATAACCAGTATGTACAACTCAACACAACCCGACCGGGGTGTCACAAGTCACGAGCATCTAAAGAAACCTGAACACAACTACAGGGCCAATAATAATATATAAAGAAAAATTCTGGAAAATCAAAAGACAACATCCGATGCCGCGAACGCTGGCGGTCACCTTGCTCAGCTACAATAGCCCTACTTTCAATCAGCTAATAACCCGCTACCGGGTAAACAATACCTGCAACTGCACGCGAGGTGCAGGGAGTAAAGTGAGTACTTCCAACTCAGTGAGTAATAAGAGTAAATAATAAATGAGAGGCAAAAAATCACGTAAGAGCACTCCATCATGCTATATAGGACAGTACAACTCTTTGAGAAAACAGTAAAACCGTGAAAATCCTAGAAAATATGTGGCTCAGTTTAAAACCTCTTTTGAAAACATCTTTTCCCAACAGTCAAGCAAATGAACGCGTAATCAGATAGTGCAAGTCCGCACATAAGTCAGCCCCTCAGGCACAGCACTCCACAAACAATTAACACCAGGGCGTCTGGTAATCAGTACAAGAAGTAGCATGGATGCCAGTGATATGAGAGTGCTGAATGTCATGGCACGTAGTACAAACAGGAACCAATGCATGAATGCAATGCAATGCATATGACCGCTGCGGCGCGCAGCCCGATCCATTTGGGTACCCGCGCTCACTGTGGGGGTTCAGACTCCGGAGGGGCTCCTACAGCCCAAGCGCAATATCATCATAGTATCGCCGCGGCGTGCAGCCCGATCAATATTCAGTCCAGATCAATGCAAATGAGCCACTCGGGCAATGTCAAGTAATAGCTTTTAACTCAAAACATAAGAAAATGCAATTTAAGTCTTTAAACTTTAGCAATATGACTGCACATTTCAAAACTGTGTTTAACTCAGGACTAAAGTCATTTAACATGCTAAGTGTCATGAAAACAATAATAATAATCCCTAAAGGATTCAAATAATCGGCACGAAGCCCAAAACATGGCAATCAGCCCAAATCACGATAGCATCAAGCAGGTTTTAGTCAATTACGCAGTAAAATCAACAACCGGGACGGACCAAGTCACCATCCCCAACGGTTCTCTACCCCACGCTCATACCTGGCGTGCAAGTCACCACAATACAGCACTATGATGTGCAAATCCGGGGTTTCAAACCCTCAGGATATCATTTACAAGTATTACTCACCTCGAACCGGTGAAATCCCTAGCTCGCGACGCCTTTGCCCCTCAAATCGGCCTCCACGCGTGTCGAATCTAACCAAAATCAGAGCGAATACATCATAATATGCTAAGGGAACAATACCCAATCAAAAACAATCGAGAAATAGCAGAAATCTCGAAACTAGCAAAACCCGAGCTCCGGGCCCACTTCTCGAAAAATTACAAAACTCACATTACCGGATTCCTCGTCTCTCCACGAGTTCATACATACCAAGAACTCCCAAATCCGAGCTCAAATGACCTATCAAATCCCAATTTAAAATATCAAAACTCAAGCCCTAGCTTTACCCCTTTTTGAAGAATTTCAACCAATTTCTATGTTAAATCTATCAAAGTTCCATGTATTTAGGCCAAGGGACTTACCTCCAGTCACAACTAGTCGAAATCCCCCTTCAATTCCGTCCAATAGCTCCCAAGCTCGCTTAAAAATGGTGGAAATAACATAACCCCCGCGGAACAAAATGAATATAAAACTCCTACTGGCTTCAGGGGTTTCCGCTTCTGCAGTCCCCACGCCCGCTTCCGCGCAACCGCTTCTGCGATTTTTGTCCGCTTATGCGGAATTTCATTAAAACTCAAGGGCCACTTCTGCGACACAAATTTTCGCTTCTGCTGAAGCTCACCTCCTGGCCAAACCCGCTTCTGCG